AATTAAACCATAAAGGTTGAAAAATACCGCAATGAGGGGAGGGGGTCTTTTTTTTTTTCTCAAAATCCACCAAATCGACCCCCAAAATGGACTAGATCGAAACCATGTTACTGGGGCGACCAGCCTAGTCGATTCGGGGGGAAGATGGAGCCTTTCGGGTCCGTGGTGGGCCAGGGGGCGCGGGGGTCACTGGGAATGATGGACCAGCCCGGATGCCCGGGGTCTTCATTTGCCGGCAGCTCCAGGGCCCTTGAGGTCGCTGTAGATTTCCGTGCGCTGCCCCTGCAGCTCCTGGGGGGAGGAAGGGCGGTGAGAGCCCGGACACCTGGGTGCTGTCTCCTGCTGATTCAATGCCAGCCCCCCCCAGGCCTCAGTTTCCCCATCTAGCTTAATGCCCCCCCACACACATGGAAGAGCTCCCCCCGGCGGGTTCCCTGGCCTGGAGGTGCACTTACCTGGTATGGGGACTCTACCTCAGGGGCGCATGGCTTCTTCACATCTCCTAGGAGGAGAGGTAGGGGACGGGGTGAGCAACCCGCAGAACCCAGACGTCTGGGACGTGCACCCACACATGGAACCCAGGTGTCCAGTCTATCCCAGTGTCCCCCAGTCACCCTCCAATCTATCCCAGGACACCACCAGGGCATCCCACCCTAAACCAGTGCCTTCCAGTAACCCCCAGTAGCCCACAAGTACCTTTTCAGTCCACCCCAGTACCCCCACCACTCTATCCCAGTAGCCCCCCAGTATGCTGTCTATCCCAGTGCCCTCCCAGTCTATCCCAGAGCCCCCAGTGCCCCACCCAGTATACCCATGCCCCCAATCCATCCTAGTGCCCTCCCCATCCATTCCAGTGGCCCCAGTGCTCCACCTAGTACACACCAGTGCCCCATCCAGTCCATCCTAATGCCCTCCCCACCCATCCCAGTAGCCCCCAGTGCCCAGCCTAGGAAACACCAGTACCCCCCAGTCCATTCCAGGGCTCTCAATGCCTTCCCAGTACCCCCCAGTACACACCAGAGCTGGACGGCAGGCGGCAGCGGGTGGCAAGGCAGTAGACGGCCAGGGCGATGAGCAGCGTCAGCACCAGGTCCCCCAGCACCAGCCCAGCCAAGGCCCCCCCGCCCAGTGCCGGACACCCCCCGCAGCCTAGGGGCACAAGCACCGTCAGGGGGCAGTAGGATGGCTGGTGGGGTACAGACGTATTGGGGGGCAGGATATGGGTATAAAGGGCCAGGGGGCTGCGGGTGGGGTGAGGGGCACCGGCAGGGCTGGAGGGCAGGGTGCTGGTCAGGCATGAGGGGCACCGGCAGGGCTGGGGTCAAGGGGCTGTAAGCCAATGGTACAGGCCAAGGTTGGGGGGACCCCCCCCCCCCCCCCCCCTCAGCAGTTCAGGCCAAAAGGGGCTCAATCCTTGGCTGGGAAGAGTACCACCCTCCTTTTAAATTGGTTTAGCCCAAAGGACTCAATCCTGAGCCCAACCCCCACCCCCCTTAGGCCTGGTGATATAGTCCTGAGATGGGGCAGGGGAGGACAAAGGGGGGCTCTACTTACCCTGCTGGCCTTGAACAGAGCCTGGAAGATACAAGAAACACCCCCCAGCCTGAGTCCCAGACCCAGGGGGGGGGGGGGGGGGGGGAGGGGGGCCCCGATGCCTGAGTTTTCTCTCTGAACTGCAGTAGTACGTTGTTATCCACCTGTAGGACTTAGGTAAGCACCCTGCCCCCCACACCCTGCTGGTGTCACTCACTCCCCAGCAGCAGCCCCCTGGCCGCTCCGCCATTCCTGGCTGTCCCCACCCAGCCACTACTTCCCCTTTCCAAACCAGACTTCGTGAATGGTGGGGGGTGGGGGGGCGCAGCTGGGATCCCGGACGCCTGGGTGCTCCCTCTGGGAGGGCGGTGGGAGCTGGGGGGTTAGAACAGACCAGGCTGAGCCCGGACACCTGGGTTCTCTCTCCTTGCTGCTCATCAGTGCCTCAGTTTCCCCACAGGCCTGGGAATGAAGACCCCAAGGGGAAGTCTCAGGACCTCCCCCACCTCATCCTGCCCCTGGTCCCATACCCGAGGGGGGTAGAGGGCTGTGGATCAGGAGTGAGGAGCACCAGGGCTGAGGTGGGACAGGGGGCTGCATGTCAGTAGAGAGGAGCAAGAATGGGGCTGCAGGTTGGGAGTGAGGGGCAACAGTAGGGCTGGGGGGTAGGGGGGGCACTCACCCAGCAGCGCCCAAGCCAGAAGGGCACCGAGAAGGGCATGTTCTGGGGGCTCCATCTGGACGCCTGGGTCCCCTGGGGCTGGGCAGCCCAGCCGGATGAGGACAGACAGGAAACCCAGAAAGAGGAAGGGCCTGGGGGTGCGGGGGGGGGAGCCACAGGGCCAAGCTCAAGCACCACCCTTGGGCCAGCCTGCAGGCGTGGAACCCAGGCATCCAAGCCCCCAGCATCCCCACCAAGCACCCACTCCCAGAGCTGGAGGACCCAGGCATCCAAGCCTCCAAACCTTCCTGCTCCATCCCCCAGCTCTCCCCCCACCAGAGAAACCAGGCCTCCAGGCTTTCCCCCCCCCCAGCCACCAAAATGCAGCTGGCTCTGGGGGGACCCTCCTGGGAGGCACGAGGCCCTGCCCCTAGGCATGACATCACAGGCAAGCAGTGCTGTAAAATAAATTGCACTTTAATATGAAAGGAAAGGAGCAGGCCTCCCTGCCCACACCCCCTGGGGCACAGGCCCCAACCCCCAGTCCCCCCTTTTACAAGAGACCCCAGTATAAAAAGTCCTGGGGAAAGATATTAGGGAGGACCCATCTCCCCCACAATGAACCCCAATGGTACAGGCCAAAAGGCCCCATTCTGCAATCCAATAATACAGTCCCAGGGGGCCCACATCCACCCCCCCCCCTTGAATACAAGGGTACAGGCCAAGAGGCTGAAAATAGTGGGGACAAATCCATCCCCTAGTCTAGTGGTACAGCCCCAGGGGCCTCCCATTCTGGGCTATGGAGGAGTCTGATCCACCCCCCAACCCAAGTGGTACAGTCCAAAGACCCCAATCCTTGGTTTTGAGGATGGGGGGCGATTCCCCCCTTAATCCTCCGTGTTACAGTCAAAGGGTGCCAATCCTGTTTCATCCCCCCCTTAATCCCAGATGGTACAATCCAAGGGGCCCAATCCTGGGCTGGTGGGGGCATTTGATTCCCCTTTATCCCCAGTGGTACAGTCCAAGAGGCCTAGATCCTTAACCCTTAGTGGTACAGCCCAAAGGGCCCAATCCTGGGCTTGCGGGGAGGGGAGGTTTCTGACCTTCCCCCATTTCACCCCAGCAGTTTAGTCCTGGGGGCCCGATCCTGTGCCCCTGGGTTCTTTGGTTTCGGAGCTGGGGATATGTGGGGAGTAGGCGTGGCCAAGCCTGGCCCCGCCCCCAGGGAGGGGTCACGTGGGGCGCCCTATGTCCACAGTGAGGTTGGTGTAGAGGGGGCGGAGCTCCTTGGCGATCAATCGATACTCAAGGGTGTTCATCCCGTCCAATCGCCATGTGCGCCGCGTCCGTGCCAGGAGATGGAATCTGAGGGCAGAGGGCAGGGTCAGGCCAAGCCCTACCCACCCCCAAGCTAGGCCCTGGCCTCCACTAAGCCCTGCCCCTTGCTTTATTCCCCCACTAGGCCCCACCCATTTGACCAAGCCTCACCCCCCCAATCTCCTCTTTAGGTAAGCCCTGCCCCAAGCCCCACCCCCAGCCATGGAACCCACCCCAGCCAAGCCCCTCCCACATGATGCCCCTCCCACTCTGCTTGGGGAGAGAAAGGGGTGCGGCTTAAGGGGAGGAGGCTAAGCTCCGCCCCTCCCCAAACTCTTCCCCTTCTGCCCAAAGGGCACACCCTCCCAATCCCCACCCTTCCCCAAGCCCCTTCTCCCCAGCTGCACCCTTCTAAGCCCCGCCCCTACCTCCACAAGCCACACCCCCAAGCCCTGCCCCTTTCCCCAACCTACTCCCCAAACCCCAACCCCTCCTCCCCTAGGCCCCACCCTTCCACCTTTTCCAAGCCCCACCCCCTCCTCCCAGCACCTCTTGGGGTTCTGCTCGTTGCCCTTGTCATGGCCGTGCTTGATCATGCGGTAGCGGCCGACGGCCAGCGCCGGGCGCGAGATCACCATGCCGCTCAGCGCCACCCTGGGGGGACAGGGGCGTGGACCCCTCACAGCTGGAGGGGACCCAAGCATCCGGGACCCCACTACCCCACCAGAGCTGGAGGGGACCCAGGCCCCCACAACCTGCCCCCAGTTAGACCCCACTCCCCTACCAGAGCTGGAGGGAACCCAGGCATCCAGGGTCTCAGTACCCCCGCTAGATCCCACCCCGCCAAGAACTGGAGGGAACCCAGGAATCCAGGCTCCTGTTACTCCCTGTCCCAGACCCCACTGCCCCCCCAAAGCTGGAAATAACCCCGTAATAATCTCTTCAGCTCTGGGGAGGGGGGAGCTGGGAGCCCAGATGCCTGCGTCCCCTCCCTCCCCAACACTACTGCTGCCCTGCCTCAGTTTCCCCTCCTAGATAATCAGGTCCTCTAGACACACCCCTCCCCAAACCGCACCCCCTCCAAGGCCCCGCCCCTTCCATCAAGCCCTGCCCCCTACCTGATGGCAATGTCATCGTCCTCGCCCCCCCAGCCCCAGTAGTTGTTGGGGATCCCGTTCATCTTCATGTACTGCTCAGGGGTCAGGGCCGAGACCCCCCCAAAGTAGGTCTTGTAGGGCAGCCTGTGGGGGGCAGGGGTGGTCAGCGTGGGTGGGGCGGGGCTCCAGGAGGCCCCATCCCCTTCCCCATGAATGCACCAGCCTCTAGGATGGGGCAGCAGCCCAGTGGAAAGGGGACTGAAAGCAGAGATGCAGCTGGCTCCGGGCTGAGACGCACATCACAGGTTGGGTATAAACAGGGACCCCAGGGTGCAACTGCCTCCGGGGTGGGTCTGGCTATAACAGGCCCACCCCCAGCTCTGGCTGGCTCTGGGGTGGGACATATCAGAGGCTAGATATAACAGCCCCTCCCCCAGCTGTGGCTGGCTCTGGGGTGGAACTGGGTATAATAGGCCCCCCACCGGCTGCAGCTGGCTCTGGGGTGGCACATGCCAGGGGTAGGTATAACATGCCCCCTAGCTGTGGCTGGGCATAACAGGGACCCCTGACTGCAGCTGGCTCTGGCGTGCGGCTGACTAGAAAATGAACCCTGTGATGCACCTTACTCTAGGGTGGGACACATCCACAGCTGGGTATAGCAGGGCCCTTCCAGCTGTGGCTGACTCCGAGGTGAGACACATCAGGGGCTGGGTATAACAGGCCCATCTGGCTGCAGCTGGCTCTGGGATAGAACACGTCATAGACTGGGTATAACAGCCCCTACCCTGCTCCTCCAGCTGCAGCTGGCTCTGGGGTAGGACACACTAGCAGCTGAGTATAATCAGCCCCCCCCCTCAACTGTGGCTGGACATAACGGACGTCTGACTACAGCTGGCTCTGGGATGGGACTTGTCACTGCCTGAGTATAACAGTCCCTCCCCACTCTCGCTGCGGCTGGTTCTGGGGCAGGACACACTAGTGGCTGGGTATAACAGCCCCCTTCCCCTCGGCTGCAGCTGGCTCTGAGGTGGCGCACACACTAGTGCAGGGGTGGGCAAAATGCAGCCCGTGGGCCAGATGCAGCCCGCCAGGCCATTCTATCCAGCCTGCAGGGCCACTAAAAAATTTAGAAAATTAATATTTGTCTGCCCCTGGCTGATTGTCATGTGGCCCTTGATGGCTTGCCAAAACTCTACCAGTAAATGGCCCTCCGCCCGAAATAATTGCCTGCCCCTACACTAGTGGCTGAGTATAACAGGGACCCCTCAGCGGTGGCTAAACATAACAGCAACCCCTGACTGCAGCTGACTCCACGGTGGTACAGGTCAGTGGCTGGGTAGAACAGCACCCCCAGCTGCGGCTGGCTCTGGGGTGGGACTGGGTATAAAAGAAACGGCCCCCCCCCACCCCCGCTGGCTCTGTGACACACGCACTTGTAGCCGAACTTGTCCATGGCGGCGGCGGCATGGCGCGGGTGCCGGTCACACACGTACAGGTTGCGGTCGTCCTCGGGCAGTAGGTCCACGTCATGGAAGTAGACGCAGTCCCAGTCCTCATCTTTCATGGCCTCCTTAAACCCCACGTTCAGCAGTTTCGCCCGGTTGAACGTCTCGTTCCCGGCCTGGGCAGGAGGTGAACAGCAGAGAACCCTGGTGTCCAGGCCCCCTCCGCCCCCAGGAAAAGGCAGCGCTCAAAGCCCCCCAGAGAACCCAGGTGTCCTAGCCTGCGCCCCCCCACCGCACAGAGAACCCAGGCCCCCTACCCAGCTAGTCCTAGAGACCCCAGCCCCCTGCCCCCGGAGAACCCAGGTGTCTGGGCCCCCTCCTCCAGAGGACCCAGTCCCGGCCCCGCAGAGAACCCAGGTGTCCAGGAAACCCAAGCCCCCTACTTGGCCACCCCCAGAGAACCCAGGTGTCTGGGTCCCCCCGCCCCTGGAGAACCCAGGCATCTGGGCCCCACGCACCTGGTGCACAACGTAGAGGCCGTAGCGCAGCTGCTGGCGCCGCAGCAGCGGGTGCAGGTGCTGCAGCAGCAGGCG